TCTTTCAGAGATACAAGTACATCATCCCAACATCGTTTAAAAATTCATATTTAGTATATAAACCTTTAATGAGCACACCTGTATGTATACCATTGTACATTGTCTATAGGGCTGTGTTGTATGTATATATGTATGTTCACAAAATATGCTCTTCAATAGCTATAATTTGCCTTCATGTTTATGTAAGTTCAAAACTTGTATTTTGCATACCAGTCAAAGAAAGCATATTTATTCATAGACAGTCATGTCATCCCAATTGTATTTTAGCATTTATTGCTATTATGCTGGCAGGCAAAATATGCTTCAAATGAAATTTGAGAGACCTTCCAGGATATATATTATATTGATATATATATATATATATATATATATATATATATATATATAGATATAGATATATATATATATATTATATATATAATGGGTGTGTCTTTTAATTTTCTTTATTCTTTGTATATTCTTATATTAACTGGTAGTTAAACTTATGAACACAATTAGCAGTGGTTCTAAAGGCTGTGCATTATACAGATAAGTAGTTTGTAATGTAACAAGTATTTTATCTCAGTGGAAATAATAATCATTGTCCATGTAACTTTACTGTGTCATTATCAGTGCTTTTTTTATCCTTTCCTTTTTCTCTTCCATTATTTTAAGAAATGTGATTCATTAGAAATATCTAGAAGTCTTTCAGAGATACAAGTACATCATCCCAACATCGTTTAAAAATTCATATTTAGTATATAAACCTTTAATGAGCACACCTGTATGTATACCATTGTACATTGTCTATAGGGCTGTGTTGTATGTATATATGTATGTTCACAAAATATGCTCTTCAATAGCTATAATTTGCCTTCATGTTTATGTAAGTTCAAACTTGTATTTTGCATACCAAGTCAAAGAAAGCATATTTATTCATAGACAGTCATGTCATCCCAATTGTATTTTAGCATTTATTGCTATTATGCTGGGCAGCAAAATATGCTTCAAATGAAATTTGAGACCTTCCAGGATATATATATATATATATATATATATATATATATATATATATATATATATATATATATATATATATATATATATATATATATATATATGTCTTTTTTTTTTTTTTTTTTTTTTTTTTTTTTTTTTTTTTTTTTTTTCTTTTCTTTTCTCTTTTCTTTTCTCTTTTTTCTTCTTGTTAATTATGCTTACTTTATGCTGGTTCTGATGCAGTAGACTTTGGTTGAGATCTCTTTCCCCTCATAGCAGCAGATCATTAATTTAAATGATTTTTGTACAGCTCCAAAGATGCATTTTTCTGACAGACATAGATTTATTATCTGTATGTTAATGTAAAAGCTAAAGAAATAGCTAAGCGAAGCAGAAGTCAGGGCCAGCTATGTTACTGCAATATTTTCAACCTTGAACTGCTCTGTAGTATGAATTGTCGTTATTGTATCTCATCTGATATATAGTATGGATAAAGGTGTACAGACTCCTTAAACAACTTAGTTCTGTGTTTCTTTGTTCACTGTTGTTGTTCTTGTTTTTATTCAAATTATACACCACTTCCTATCTGTTGACATGCCCCTTTTTTCCATAGCTTAGAAGGTAACTGGTTCATATGCAGAGTTGGTACTGCTATCCATAAATTTACACTAAGTGTGTCTACCATTGGTGGATACGAGACAGGATTAGAATTTTTATTCTTCTGAATTTGTATAACCTGTTTTTCTCATTCTGGATTACTAGTCCCTTTTTTTTTTGTATAGTCAGTACCTTTGGACCTGATTTGATTTATCACTAGAATGAACTGTATCACAGATATTAATTCTATGTCTGGTATTTAATGGAGTTATTTTACATTTCCTTATGTTCGAAAACTTGGATAGCTTCTAAATTCTTTAATAAAAGAGGCATTAAAGTTTCAGTGGAGAATATTTTGCTGCTCATATTTAATGTTGAATAACAGCAGTTACAGATAATGTGTCTAGAATGTGACTGTGGAAGCTTTGGTGAATTCAGTTCGTGTAATAATGAAATGAATGTTGAGATGCATTGGCCAGTGCTATACATTTATACCTCTCATAGTACTGCCTCATGAATTCCATGTATGGATATAGATCTGACTTGTAAGAAAGCTTGCTATGGATGCTGACCACCTTTTTTGACTGGTTCAGATTCAGAGAGAATATTACGTAGCTAGAAATTTATTCACTTAGTTTGTGAGGGGAGAGCATACTTTGTAAATAGGTAAGATATGTCAAATCTCTACAAAAAGGACCAGATATAAAACCTCAAGTGTGTCATTATGGAATATACAAAAAGGTTTAACATCAGCACAATTACCAGCCTGCAGTCTTACATCAAAGGTTCTCTCTTGAAGTAACCCTTGTTAAAGAAAGTTGACATTCACAATGCTGTGAAAGGTATCACTGTATATTCATAGGAACATGTATGTTATGCTTCAGTTTGTCAGGTAATTTTTGCAATAAAGTTTTATTTATTTATATTGTAACTTTGATTTTTGTTTTTATATAATTAACACTTGGTTTTGAACATTTAATTATTGCATTAATTCAAGGACCATACTAAAATAAGAAAAATTTGAGCAATAATAATAAGGCTAATAATGCTAACATAGATTAGGAGACTTATGCAACCATTTTTTTAAGTAAAAGACCAAGGAATTGTTAGTCTAACACCAAAGTATTTGTATGTAGTTTTATATACAGTAATATATATTTACTTAAAAAATGATCATCGTAGACACATTATGGTTTGAAATATCAAATTTGAGAATGATGTGCATGTGTGTATATATTGCATGAAAACTACAAGATTACTGAGTTTGTGTCAACCTCTGTAACATGTCCTTAACATATTTAAATACAAGCTTTATACACAATTCATAATATCATAAGCTGTAATGGATAAACACATACCTTTGAAAGAATGCCTGTTAGAAAATAAAAATTGAAAATATTTTTCTTTTGTCAATGTCATACACAGCAGAAAAGAGAATAGGGAAAGATAAACAGAACCAAGGACAACAGCTCAGAGAAAAAGAGCAAAACATATCAGATAGAAAGTCCGGACAAAAAGGCCAATTAACGAGAACAAAAGAAAAGTCACAGAAAAGAGAAAGTAAGGGAAGAAAAGAAGCAAAGAAAAGATGCAAGAAAAAGAGAGATGATGAGAGGCAAAGTAGTAGTCTGGAGAAAAAGTGACAGGATAAGAAAAATCATCATACTAGCAACAGCTACACATATATTTTAGTGATTAAATAACACAGTGCAATAGGATAAATAATGCAGTTCATTCAGTTATCACGGTTTTATTGTTAACCATATTTATGAACTATAAAGTTAAATTTCACTGAAAAATGACATCGTACTCATTGATTCGTATCTACAAATATGACTATAGTATTTGTACTATTCCAATTTCCTTTCAGATACATGGGTATTATAATTTATTGCTTACTAAAATTAATATATCTGATTTTGTTATTCTTCTCAGAAAAGAGCATCAACATATGAGAGAGACTGACAAATAGCTTTGGCCTTTTTGAGTACTTCAGAGCTAGATTTACCATTGCCAGTAGCATCCTCAGAGTCAAGGCTAACAAAATGTGAGACAGCCAGTGCTTTAGTACGTGATATAATTCGCAACCTTAGGTCTGACATCGTTACATAGTTATCTTTATCATCAGAGGAAGATAATCTTGATTTTAATATTTTTCTAGGTGTTTGAGTTGCCATAGAACTACTATCTTGGTCAGTATTAGGGAAATACAGTTTAGGATGCATGATAGAACAAGATGTATCTGTACGGAAACTAACATCGAGAGTCATGCTACCACTGGGTACTGGAGATTCTGTAGCTCGTACTGGGGAAGTGAATACTACCCCTCGAACTCCCAAAGCACGTCTGGGTCGGGGTGCCATGCCACGGCGCAGGGAACAGCGGCGAGGCTGATGAGATACCATGAAAGGCCCACCCTGAGACATCATCCGAGTAATGACCTCAGGAATCAGAATAGGATCTGGAGGTGGATAAGTAAGCAAGTGATCATATACAGACATGTCAAACTTGGCTGACTGGTCAGGAGCATTAGGATCTGCCCACCACCCAACCTTTGACCACTGCTGTACAATGGGGATTATGCGTCTTGGTCTGAGACATCCAACCATTTGCATCAGTTCATCATAGGATGAATGGTCACTGTACATTACTTTGAAGATTCCCTTGTTGGCCTGGCTGCTGTATGGTCCATGAGGCCACCCAACGAATAAAGCTGTCAACACTATACTGATGGTTGGGCTCTCCTCATTCCATCTTTCATGTGTTCTAACTTGGATCTGCAATAAAGTAGATGAATTAATTACTTTCAATATTTATGTATCAGATCAGAGAGCAAATCTGAGCATTAACATTAAGAAAGTGTCATCCAATATTTCAAAATGTACTTTGGGAAATGAATGATTACTTTGGAATTGCTGATTTCAGAAGAACATCCCAAGCAATATTTCTAAGAGAAATTGGGCATTAAGCACCCACCCTAGTTTTGTGCATATGAAAATGTCTGTATGAATGGATGACCCCTAATGTCTAGAATTTCTAGTTTGGGGGAGATCAGATGCATGATGATACAGTTCAAGACGATATACCTGTGACATTGGGACAGCATGAATCCTTGCTTGCGAAGGGTCATTAGTAAAAGCATCTGAATACTGCAGTAACTCCAACACCTTAAATTTGTCCTGATTAACAAGAATTCTCTCTTGAAACCTCCTTGCAACTGCTTCTAACAGGTCTTCCCTGCCAAGCTCTCGGACACTGATCTTAATTGTGTGATCTGGGTAGGAACTGCAAAGAGAGACACATGATGTTACTGTTTAATGATTTTTCAAAATTTTCATTACTGTCTTTGATACAGAATACTTTGTATTGTAAATCTCACACCATTGGAATTTTTGTTGCAGGTTTGGCATAAGTGCATCTCCATTTTCATTAACCTGTGACTCATATAGTTGTAAAATACTTACACAAAAACTTCAATTACACATCATAAACAATTATCTCAGTGCAGTTCTAGAAAATAATTTCTTTAGATTATCATTAATCTAATCTGTTATTTTCATGTATACAGGTGCTTATCTCCCACTCATATTTCAGAGAATGCTTTTCCCTTTGTTTTTTTTACCATTAGGATCCTAAATGTGAATTCATTTGGTCACTGCTCGTATAGAACTCTCCTCTTCAAAGAAAAAGCATCAAATCAAATCACATTATGTCCAGCATGAGGCATCAAACACCTTAACCACACCAACAAGGATTTCACTTACTTTCTAATATTCACATTCCCTGCTGTTGGTTTGGAAAGGTAGGCTACTTTTCCATGACAGAAATCAAACATATCAGACGAGCCTTGCAACCCTTGAGCTTTGCAGGTTACACCCTGTGTAAAAGGTAAATCGCATTTTCATTGAGCCAAAGTGTGGGCATCACCTGATGTAACTTGATATGATATACTGGAAAAACTTTCCACCATTTTGGTACTTTGTGTGAGAGACTAATTTTGTTTAGGCATATCAGGTTTTACATGGAGATTTTCATGACAGTAATTAGATTTAGGTGCAGTGATATTAGAAAAGTTTTTATTGTTTTGAGTTTTCCATTGCCACATCCAAGGTCCTCCACCAAAGCTGTTGATAGAAATGCTTCGAGATATTAGAAATCAATACATGGGATTTTTGACACATACTCAATAATATCAAAGAGCTGCTTTTTGGCTTCCTCCCTGGATGGGAATCTGCAAAAGGGTGCTGAGAACGTATTGTCCAAGTAGAGTACATCCAGTTCTCTTGCTTCTATCAAATGCTTCAGCACAGGATGTTCTACAAGTTCTGGATACCAGCGCATGTCACCACTGTACAGAATATTGCCAAAGTAACCTGAAAAAATTCAGAGGAATAAATCACTACATTACATCTATACATAGTCCAAAACTAAATATAATTTCTGAAGATATGTACTAACAACTGTATGAAAGATATTAAACTTTCAGTTTTTTTTTATTTTTGCAAGAAGAATTTTTTCAAGCAAAAATTTTAACACTAGCTATAGGAAGATGTATTTCAACTACTTCTAAAATATGAGTAAATTATTTGATACATCTTTATATATTTTAATGTGAAGAAAGTCAATCAAAAGGACAGGACAAGAGTAATTACATCTTCCTTTAAGCCACTTAAACCTAAAAAAACACCTCTATGCTCACTGTAACTTCTTTGAAATATCCATCATAATAACAAATAAATATACTTTGTGTAACAACATCTTTGTTTCTACTCATTAAAAAAAAAATCAGTGATTACTCATGAAAGTACTGAAGATCACACCCATTACCTACCCTGGAAGAGAAACATGACAGCTCCTGGTACATGATTTGCATCAATGGGTGTAACACTCATAGTGTAGTCTCCTTCAGGGTCAAGAGGCAACAAGTACGTTTCTCCCACCTCTAATTCTCGAATTATACTCTTTGGTATCTGGAAGAACATAGAATCAACTATGTGATTTGCCCCCCAAACATAAGCTGGTAACTGGGACTATGAGTAGGAGTAATGGTGGGGGTGGGGTGTGTGATAGGGATAGGGATAGGGGTAGGGGTTATTGTGGTGGGGTTCGGGACAGGGGGTGAAGGTGGTAGTAGGGGGCTTGGATGGGTAGGTGTGGAGGGAGGGGGGGGGGGTAGGATAAGGTCATGGTTAAAGATGAGGCAGGAACTAGAGGTCGAGGGAAAGGGTGATAGTATGAGGCAAAGAAACCGAAAGATTTATGTTGTGTTTCATAAAGTAATGATCATTATCATCCTTCCCAATGAAATCCTAAGGACCTCACACGATCGAGGCAAAACACAAGCAGGAAAAGTATACTCCAAGTTGTCCAAATTCACAAACCTCGAATTTGTGCTGTAAAAGTAGGGCATTGATTGGGGAAGTGTAGATCGGAAGCCGCCATGTTGAAGAGAGGCCCAGCGTGTGATCTCTGTGAAGGTGAGTGAGGAAAAAGAGCCGAGCCTGGAAATGTACAACTGAATTTCAGTATCAAACGGCCATTCTCTGTAATGTGTACACTTGTAAATCTATGCGTACACAGACACACAGACACACACACACACACACACACACACATACACACACATACACATACACATACACATACACCTACACCTACACACACACACACGTACATGAGTAAAATAAAGAGAAATTGACGCCGCCCACCCTGTCAATGAAAGTTTCGTTCAACATATGTACACATTATTAACTCGGCCACAAGAACATTAGCAGCAATTACGTTAACCGCGCATAATAAGGGATACAAAGCGCGCCGGGAACAATTTCTCCACAAACATAACAAGAGGAACAATAACTCTTCCTGATTCCACTTCTGAATCCACTTTACCTCCGGTGCTTTGGTCGGCCTCCAGAAGTCCATTGCAATAGGGATAGGGATAGGGATAGGGATAGGGATAGGGATAGGGATAGGGATAGGGATAGGGATAGGGATAGGGATAGGGATAGGGATAGGGATAGGGATAGGGATAGGGATAGGGATAGGGATAGGGATAGGGATAGGGATAGGGATAGGGATAGGGATAGGGATAGGGATAGGGATAGGGATAGGGATAGGGATAGGGATAGGGATAGGGATAGGGATAGGGATAGGGATAGGGATAGGGATAGGGATAGGGATAGGGATAGGGATAGGGATAGGGATAGGGATAGGGATAGGGATAGGGATAGGGATAGGGATAGGGATAGGGATAGGGATAGGGATAGGGATAGGGATAGGGATAGGGATAGGGATAGGGATAGGGATAGGGATAGGGATAGGGATAGGGATAGGGATAGGGATAGGGATAGGGATAGGGATAGGGATAGGGATAGGGATAGGGATAGGGGTTACTGTGGTGGGGTTCGGGACAGGGGGTGAAGGTGGTAGTAGGGGGCTTGGATGGGTAGGTGTGGAGGGAGGGGGGGGGGGGTAGGATAAGGTCATGGTTAAAGATGAGGCAGGAACTAGAAGCCGAGGGAAAGGGTGATAGTATGAGGCAAAGAAACCGAAAGATTTATGTTGTGTTTCATAAAGTAATGATCATTATCATCCTTCCCAATGAAATCCTAAGGACCTCACACGATCGAGGCAAAACACAAGCAGGAAAAGTATACTCCAAGTTGTCCAAATTCACAAACCTCGAATTTGTGCTGTAAAAGTAGGGCATTGATTGGGGAAGTGTAGATCGGAAGCCGCCATGTTGAAGAGAGGCCCAGCGTGTGATCTCTGTGAAGGTGAGTGAGGAAAAAGAGCCGAGCCTGGAAATGTACAACTGAATTTCAGTATCAAACGGCCATTCTCTGTAATGTGTACACTTGTAAATCTATGCGTACACAGACACACAGACACACACACACACACACACACACACACACACACACACACACACACACACACATACACACACACACACACACACACGTACATGAGTAAAATAAAGAGAAATTGACGCCGCCCACCCTGTCAATGAAAGTTTCGTTCAACATATGTACACATTATTAACTCGGCCACAAGAACATTAGCAGCAATTACGTTAACCGCGCATAATAAGGGATACAAAGCGCGCCGGGAACAATTTCTCCACAAACATAACAAGAGGAACAATAACTCTTCCTGATTCCACTTCAGAATCCACTTTACCTCCGGTGCTTTGGTCGGCCTCCAGAAGTCCACTGCAATTGGCGTGCCTTTGATGACGCAACCGTTCATGTCGGCCAATCAGCTCGGCTCTTGCATGCGACCAAGTGGCACGCTGCTCTGTTCATTTACGGCAATCAGTCGGCTCGTTCGCTCCTGATTCAACGGCCATTCAGCTGTCAAGTATTAGTAAAACAATTGATGAAATTTACGGTAATGTCGATCAATTCACCATGTTCAGGTGTACAAACTTGTACGTCTTTTTATTTAATAAATATCAAATATTCACGCTGAAAGAGCAACGGAAATACATCTGTACAAAGTTGGCTGTTATAAACTATTTGTAATAAGCACATCCCTCCCTGACTTCATTGCAAAGAAAAAAGAACATGCATACTTACTGGTCACACCTCTATTATCATCGGCATCTTTCAGGTGTGTACATGATTCTACGTTCTAAGGTATACTTCTTGACAAAAAAAAATATATATATACTATTATACCTGAGGAGTTCATGCTACGAGGATTAGTCAGACAAAAAAATCGAGCGGGAAATCCCTTGGGTCCACATAACTCTGCATTGCTCTTATTCAAAACTACATTATATCATTCTTTCAATTCTTTACTACATGCTCTAGCGAAATTCCCTGCTTAGCAATCTAAACAACAAATCGAAAAAAAATCGATGAATTTCCTTGTGTCGTGAGCACAACCCGTTCCCCGAATGAGCTGACGGCTTCAAATTCAGTCGATTGGGTGCAGTGTACATATCATTACGCGTTAAATGGCGTGCGTAAACATAGCCTCAACAAACTCTTAAGTGCGGTGGACGGAGTGAGTCATAATCACGGAATAATGATTTGCGAGTAAGAAATTCAAATGCCGAATTTCTGTTATCGCATGTCCTCCTTTTCAACAGACCTCGCCGTCTCTTAATTTTCACAGCAGCCATATCAACTTCCTCTGCGTGCAAACACCATCGGAACTCCACTTAAAAACTCCAACGACCATTCTAACAAGAAATTACTGCCTTCCAGCTCAAAATTAACGCTGTCGTCACGCTAACAAATACAGCAGGCTAAGTGACCTGAGTTCCGTGTTTTCTTGTTCCAGTTACAGCTTCAACTTCTCAAATCGGTACTGCCTCATTTTAAGCTCGCGTTTTTTCCCATATTCATTCCTAACAGTATATACACATCGCCAATCTCATGTCTCATGCCGAAAGCGTCCGCCTGCCGCAATATGGTGGTGACGGGTTTTCCGACTCCGAGTAAAGATGCCGCGACACATGCCCCGCTATCTCTCACATTGTCTATTCCTCTTAACTTGCTTTGGTCCTTCATAGGCATAGCCCGGGCGAGGTTCAGCTTTGTATATCTGGCTTATCCTTATCCTTACAACCCTGGGTGGAGGAGGCCTGGGGGACGACCGAGAAGGTCGTGGCTTGGGTAGATCGATCAAACCTGGCGTGAGGAGCTAGAGATGGGCCGGGCCCTACCCTGGTGACTCGCCATGAGGGACCCTCGTAGGTGGAAGCAAAGGGTGGATGCGGCTATGCACCCCTGCTGGCGTTAGCTCCAAAATGATGATGATTATCCTTACTGTCGCACCTTGGCAATTAACACGGTATAAATTGTCAAGCAATATTGAAAAATGTTTATCCATTTATTTATTTGCTGATTTTACTCATACATAACAGGGCTTCTAAAATATCTAAATCTGTGGTACCTTTTTGGACGGGCATTCTTCAAATATGGCTTGCTAGAATGAACATGAAAGCCCGGAGTTAAGTTTCATTTCTAAAAGCATGCCAAAATACACAGAAAAAAAAGAAATCGGAAGAAACCTTAATTCACATAAAATTTCTGGCGGGCGTCGGCTACGCCTGAGGTAACACTTTGGGCTCCCGTTGGAGGGAAAACTTTTTTAGGGGAAAACTTGAAAACTTGATTCTTCTGGGATATCGGGCGAACGCTTTTTCGAGCCTGTTTTAAGGGAATCTATACAGAACTGAAATACCAAAATCAACAGTGGTTGTGCATAAAATCGTGGGTATCAAAGGAATAATCCGTTATAAACAAGACCTTTATTGTGATGGCGTGATGATGACGCTACTTACAAGTGACATACATATGAAGTAACGCGTAAGTGATTATCACTACACAAGAATTATGTTAATTCATTGCATTAACACTTATCCTCTGAAAGACAACAAATAAACATATTATGAGGAAAACTTCAAGGTATATTTAAATTATAAAAATACAATTATCATACAAACAAATAGAGATTAAACTAATTTTAAGCAAAATATATACATAAAATAAACACTGTTACTGATCTTTTCCATATCTAATTATCTTAATAAAATACATTTCTGCAGGTTATATCTTTCTTCGTAACAGATACTTTGTGACAATAAATTGCACTTGGTTAATAACAGTCTTAAAATATACATAGTGTCATACATAACATAAACTTTATACTAAGTACAAAAAATATGTGCAAGACGATTTGTGCACAAAATTACGGCTGCCATCTGTCAGCCAATCCCCGACGTAATTTCTGACGTTACGACGATAAAGCACAAACAGAAAACAAGGCACAACAGCTTTTGCTTCGTTCATCTTAATAACGAACATGAAACATCTCTGTCCAGATTAACAACAAGGAACCTGATAGGACAACCAGATCTTATGGGCGTGATTTTAGTCTTTCTGTTACAACACATGTCGACTAATTAAAGATCAGGATTGACTTTGTTGAAAACTCAAACAAAAACACAGTGAGATAGATGCAAACACAAACATGCACACTCACTGACTCGTTCACTCACTCGCTCTCTAAATGAATAGCAGCTGTATCACATCTTACTGCACATCCACAACTCCCATCTACAACCCCAAACATATGATTTAATCGAGACACTTTGTTGTTGCATAATTTACGAGTATAAAAATGCACGTGCGACGCCGAGGCCTGGTCAAGAGCAGAGCGCCTGATCGAGCAGACACTGCCCGCGGAACCACTCCGTCAGCAGAGTATTTTCGGGTGAGAGTCCGCTCATGTTGGCAGGCTCGTGGGCGTGGTGGTGCTGGATGGCCGGCGGCACCACCCGCCTGCACATGCCCCGCCGCTGGTGCTCCAGGAAGGCTCGCGTCAGGTCCTCCTGCTGCTCGCTGCTGAGGCATGGCTTGCATAGCTGGCACTCCACCTTGCTGCATGCTTTCTCGAGGGAGCAGGAGACGGCACAGTGCTCGGGGAATACCATGACGTCTTTCTGGGCCGCCTGCATCTCCGTCTCTTCCCGGGAGCTCGGAGCCAATGAGGCGGAGTGCACTGCGCGCCCCACGCCCACCAGCGAGAGCAGGTTGAACACCACTTGTTCATACAGGAGTCGATTCTCCTTGAAGTGCGACGAGGAGAGATTGGGAGACATATTGGCCTCCATGAGATGGACTTTGAGTTGATCGTCGATGACGAAATCGATGCGCATCATCTCGAAAAAGTTGGTGGAACGCGGATAGTGGCTGGTGGCCTGCACTAGCGCCATCTCCTTTCCGTAGAACACGTTGCGGATGGCATCCCGCACGGCGTCCCACACCACTTCCGAGTCCTGCAGGCAGGAAAGGGGTGCGTCTCGCTCAGAGAACATTCGAACAATAATAAATTTATTTCGATACCCAACATATACATTGCAATTACCAAAAAGAACACCGATTTGCTTTTTTTTTTTGAGACAGAAA